CTTATAACAAACAAATTAATTTTATGATATATTCCTTAAAATTATCATATATATATATATATAAAAAAAAAAATGTATATAACCTAAAATTCCTTAATTAGTTATCGAGTTATATCATTACGATGATCATCATGGGGTTCCGCTATTAGTGGGTGGTGTTATTATGTGTTTATCGTATATACACGATCATACGTTGTCTCACTAGCTTATCTTTGACAGAAGGTTACTCGAAACCCCCTGATGTGTTTGCAGTGATAGGGACTAAAAATAAAAAGGTGTATTCGTAGGAGGGATAGAACAAAAAAACAAAAAAACAGAAAAAAAAGGGAAAATAAGGTGGTGTTGTATCATGGGGAATAGAAGAAGAAGAAGAAGAAGAAGGTGGTGTACGAATTGAAGGGGGTTGTAAGAAAAGAAAAAGAAGAAGAAGAAGACAAAAAGAAGAGAAAGGAAAGGAAAGGGAGGGGAAGGGAAGGGAAGGGAAGGACGAGAGGGTGAAGAAGGGGAAACCCTGATTCGTAGGAGGGCAAAGAACGTTAGGTGTCTATATAGGAAAAGGGACCCTGGGGAGATCGATCTCCGGCTGATTCTCTCAGACGCTGAGAGTTCGAGTTGGTTTGGTCTCTTCTCGTTTCTTCCTTAGGTCCTCTTTCCCCCCAACCCCCAGCCCTCATCCCCATTTCATCTGTTATACCACTAACTTTTGTATTAGTATTGTACAATACACGAATAAACTGATACCACCCAATCCTTATGATTCTTTGGCACGTAAGTAAGTATACAACAGAATATTATCAATCCTTGTATACATTTTTTGTCTCTTTTTCTTTTCTTTTACTCATAGCTCTCTTTGTGTGTGTGTGTATGTGTATATTTTATAGGTATAGATTATGCAAATGAAAAAGTTCAACATCGAATTTTTATAATTGAACAATCTTGCGAATCTGATATTACACGGATTTATTATTGTTTCGTATTAATTTTTATCCTAATATGAAACAAAGTTTTTCCACGTTTATTTACTTATTTGTTTGTTTTCTTTTATTAATATTATTCTGTATATATGCATTTGTGATTTTTTTTTTTAGATTGTTTCAATATATACATTTGTGTGATACAAATTGTTTATATTGTTGTTAATTTAGTTTTGTTTAAATGAATGTTTATATCGCTGAGGGTTAAAGTTTTATTGAACGGGACGGGACGGAGAAGGGGATGGAAATTTTTAAATTTTCGCGCGCTTTTATTTTACTACACTACGGGATACAATACACAACGTGTTCGCGGTATTATTTCAACATGCAGGAAGTTTCCGAAGGTTTCATGACCATAGAAAAGAACTCTTGGTCTTTTTGTTCCTTTTCTTTTCTTTTCTTTTCTTTTCTTTTCTTTCTTTCTTTTCTTTTTTTTTTATAATGGCTACGTGAGATAAAAACGAGGACGAAATATATTGAACATTTTTTCTTGAACAACGAAAACACGTGAATTATTTACAATAAATAAATAAATAAATAAATATAAAATGAAATGTGGATTATAATTAATAATATCTGACTTATGTTTTTCATTGTTTAAGTGAATAATAATATTGAGGTTATGTTTTACAAGATACCCCCTGTTTGAACACATCGGTCCGTCGGTAGAATTTTAATCAATCGTTTCTCAATAATTCGGTCTCATATATATAAAAATCTTATAAAATTGATTATATGATTTACTTTAATATTATTTAGTTAACCCACAATATTAATGTTCATAATAATTTGTTCATACTTATAAAAAAAAAAAAAAAAAAAAAAAATCGAAAACACGAAAACAAAAATCACACGTGAGGCCTAAAGATATTTAATACAAATAACAAAGAAATAATAAAAGAGAAACATCATTATTACCTCGAGTTCATCGTAGGTGCGGAAGGCGAGAATCGCGAAACCGTCGATGATGTCTTCCTCGAAGGGAGGTTCCTTCTGATTATTGGTGACCGCTGCCGCGGCAGCTGCGGCAGCGGCTAGGCAAGACTTTTTCCTAGGTCTAGGTGGTCGTGGTGGCCTAGGTGGCCTTGAATGTCCACCTTCACGAGAATGGGAGTTTCTTGGTATAATACCAAGTCCAGATAATCCAATTGTATTACCAGCACCAGTACCACCGGTACCACAGCCAACAGCACTAGCACCACCAACACCTCCACCTCCACCTACACCTCCACCTACACCACCACCACCAACACCACCAATACCACCAGTACCACCACCTGGACTGGGATCCTCTTCTTCTCCACTATGACTGTCCTCCTCGTCGTCACGTGGTCTCTGTCTACCACCACCGGTTTGTTGTTGCCCTTGCTGTTGATTTGGTTGTTGACTATGCTGTTGTTGTTGCTGTTGTTGTTGTCCTTGCTGTTGACTCTGTTGCTGTTGTTTAGTATTAACAATGTTTTCCCTCTGCGCCAGCATACGCAGGGCTCGTTCACGTCTCCGATTCCGTTGATTCCTCTGTTTCGCCTCGATCTCCATACCGAGGCACCACCACAGTGGCTTTAGTCTCCTCCCCGACGGCGACGGTGATGATAAACACCGAGCACGAGGAGGTATACGAATACGACGACAATGATGACAAATTATTCAAAGGGGTGGGCGGGTGGATGGGGAGAGGACGACAACAGTAATGCGTTAAAAGATACAACAGTTTTGATGTCCTTTAACGTTATGTTCAAGATAACCCGTCTAAACGGGGATTGTCCTGGAAAATATTGTTAACTGTTCGACGTCCATCGGAGATTTGAGTGTAGGGACCAGTAGTATTCACTTGCATATTCCGAACTCGAGATATTGGGAATAGAAAAAGATAGATAGATTAAGAGAGCAAAAGAGAGAGAGAGAGAGAGAGAGAGAGGTAGAGGTAGAGGTAGAGGGGCAGGGATGAAGGTGGGGAATGGAGAAAGAACACTGGTTCGGAATACACCACACACTCTAACGAATTTTCTCCTCTCTGACGTGTTTCTCAGCAGGCGTTTGGTTTCTTGCTTGCTTGCGCGCGCGCGTGCAAGCCTACCCAACTCTTTTCTTCCTTCTTTCCTTTATTCCTTCCTTCCTTCCTTCCTTCCTTTATTCCTTCCTTCCTTCCTTCCTTCCTTCCTATTCCTTTCTTCCTTCCGTTCGACAAGCTGGCCGAAAGTTTTTGTACGGAATGCGACGTACTGGCGGCACACGGTGTGTCACATCGATCGTGCGCTGCTCAGCAAGACCAGAGAGAGAGAGAGAGAGAGAAATAGAGAGGGGAGAGGGAGTAAGTGAGTGAGAGTTAGAGTTAAAGAGAGAGAGAGAGAGAGAGAGAGAGAGAGAAAGAGAAAGAGAAAGAGAGAGAGAGAGAACAGTAGATAGAAAGAGTTCGGTGCGTGTCGAGAAAACACGCGAAACCACGCACGTATAAGAGAGTGTACAAGTATATGTGTGTGCAGCTCACACACACACACATATACATAGGCGCACACACGCACAAGTTGCGTACACGAGACGCATGCACGCACGCACAGGCTGCAACAAACTGCTGCTGCAACGGAGTATTTTTTTGCAATTTCTGTTTGTATGTGTGTGCGTGCGTAAAAGATAGATAGAGATAAAGAGACAGGACTCTTAGGAGCACGTAACAAATATACACATACACACAGTATATATATTTGTATGTATATATTTTGTCCTTTATGTTTAATATTCCTATTTATACCACACTACTATTTATTATTATTATTATTATTATTATTATTTATCAATCCACTAGAGCACATACACACACACACACACCACACACACTATTCTTATATTGTCCTGACGATTGTTTTTCTTTGCTTCTACTTGTTTTTTTCTTTTTTTGCTGATTTTACTACGAAGACGAAGAGACCAAGAACAAAACCAAGACGAAGACGACAATTACTAGCACAGACATTTCCATAACCACCACACCATCATCATCGTCATCGACACTATCATCATCTTCATCACCACCACTACTAACACCACTACGATCACTCACGAATGGATAGATAGATAGATAGATAGATAGATAGATGGATGGATGGATGATAGGTGCGCGCGCGCGCACACCCAGAGTACGACGACTCCTTGTTAAACCCGACGGGGACGTGTCCCTTCTTCTTTCTCGTCCTGTCTTCTAATATTATTATTATCACTATTACTATTATTATTATTATTATAATTTTTATTGTTATATTAATAATATTTTCTTCTTCTTCTGCTTCTTGGTTTCTTTTTTTTTAGGTTATTACCGTTATTGTTAAATGTTGACCCAACGAATGAATGAATGAATGAATGATGGAAGGAAAGATAGATAGATGTATAATGCAACGAAGAAATCCTCTTTCTTTATCACAAATGTAATCAATCCTCGATGATTATTATCGGTAATATTTTGTTTATCGACCGATTGAACCAATGCTCGGTTATAATATTATCCATAATAATAATTATCATTATCATCGGAATTATTATCGTCGTCGTTATCATCGTCATCATCTTCTTCGTCATCATCATCTTCTTCGTCATCATCATCATCATCATCATCATCATCATCATCATCATCATAATAATCCTTCTTGTCATAATCGAATTCCACTTATTCGTCGTAATCGTCATCGTCATCAACCTTGACTCGTATAATTTTCATTCTTATTCTTCTCCTTTTAAATCTTTTCCTTTTATCTTCTTCCTCACCACCTTTCCTCTTTTTTTTCTTCGCCAGTTCCTCAACTTTTTGATAACCCTCCTCCTCCTCCTCCTCCCCTTCTCGTTGTTTCTGTTGTTCTTCTTTTGATAAATCGTCGTTGTTGTTGTTGTTGTTGTATTCGACGACGTACCTTTTTTCAACTAACAATTGTCCAACAGCAGCAATAATAACAATAATTGTAATAATAATAATAACAACAACAACAACAATTGTTAAGACCACAGTAAAAATTTCTGCAGCAATTGTTGTTGTTGTTGTTCCTTTTATTCCAGCGGTGATGATAGTATTTGTTGTTGTTGTTGTTATTGTTGGAATATGTAATAATGATGTAACTAGTATCACTAGTAACACTATGAAGATGATGATGATGATGATGATGACGAGGAGGAGCAGCAACAACAACACCAACACCACCACCACCACCACCACCCTTCTTCTTTCGTCTCCTCTTGGCCACCACCTCCACCACCACCACCACCACCACCACCAGCACCAACACTACGATCGCTACCGTCTTTGTCGTAAAATATTTGATATCGTTAATTCTTGTCTTTTTAATGTTGTTAACGTTGTCGTCCCTGCTGCTGCTGCTGTTGTTGTTGTTGTTGTTGTTGTTACTATGGCTAATCGTAGAATTTTAAACGTCGACGTTGTCGTCTTCGTTGTCGTTATTCTTCTTGTTTTTCTCGTCGTCTCGTAACCCCCTTCTTTTTATAATTATTTGAAAAAATCCTTTTTAATTATATTCGTCTTTTCTTCTTATTCTTCTTCTTATTCTTCTATTCCTCAATAAGACGACAATGTTCATTAAACCCTTTAGACGATATTATTATTATGATTATTCTTATTATTTAACGTTAAAACACGGTGTATTCAGTACGGGGGGGAGGGGCTGGGTGGTCTATGGGTGTATCTAACCGATCGATATTATTCCTGTTGAGTAGTCGATTTAAAAAACTATCGGTCTGCTGTTGTATTAGTCGAATGCACCCCGTTAGGGTACCTAGTACACCGATTGTTTGGAATGGCGGATCGAACGGGCACGCACGGTTGCCGCATCGTGTGGTAAAAATGGCCGCGACCTGACCGCACACACACACACACACACGACGACATACACAGAGAATGAAAGAAAGAGAGAGATATATATATATATATATACACGCACACAACTATATAACTAAACTCCTCTTCTTATTTTCTAACTACACAATTTTTTATTATTTTTCTTTATTTCTTTTTAAATATATATATATCTTTGTCTCTCTCTCTCTCTCTTAATATTTCAATCTTCTCGTTCTTCTTTCCTATACACAAAACTCCGTTAGTCAGTTACTTTCTGTCTCTAACTAGAAACGATAAAGAGAGAGATAGATATAGAGTAGTTACAGGAGGACAGACAGACAGATAGACAGACAGAGAGACACTGGACAGACGATATCAATGTCCCCCGTGTGACGTTACGTACGGACAACTACCGTTGCCCTTTCAGATCGGTTTAATCATCTCTTTCCCCCAACTAACTTGGACACGTTTTTCCGACCTTCCGTCACGGGCCAAAGAGATATGCGACGACAGACAGCGCCGGCACACGCCCCGAATTACGCGCGAACGACCCTAACGTTTCGGATTTTAAGCGCTGCTGTTGCTGCTTCTGCTGCTTCTACTTCTACTTCTTCTCCTGCTGCTGTCGTTGTCGCTGCTGTACTCTTGTGGTCTACTCTCCTGTCTTCTTCTTCTTCTGTTTCTACTTCTTCTTCTTCTTCTTCTTCTTTCTCCACCACCTCCTCCTCCTCCTCCTCCTCCTCCTCTTGCTGCTGCTGCTGCTGTTCCTGATCCTCCTCCTCCTCCACCTCCTCCTCCACCTCGTCGTCCTCTTCTTCTTCTTCTTCTTCTTCCTCTTCTTCTTCCTCTTGCTCCTCTTCTTCCTTCGTTACACGACTATGCATTTCTGTCATCCGCCTCTTATCTTCTCTCTCTTCCTACTAACGACTGGGTTGTCATCTCACTCTGTTTTACATTCACTTGGTCTTTCTCTTTCTCTTTCTTTCTCTCTTTCTCTCTCTCTCTCTCTCACTCTCACCTTCTTTCTTTTTCTATCTCTCCCTCTCACCCTCTCTTATTTCCACTTTTTCTCTTGATCTCTCGCTTACTCTCTTTATGGTTTTTGCAGGTTTCTTTCTAACTTGGTAATTTGACAATATGGCGACGGGAATATGCTTCTAGTACGATATTTTGCCGCAATGGCACTCCGTTCGTCGTTGTCGTCGTTAGGAATGATTCCATTTATTAAAAGTTAGGTTAGTTCTAACCTATGCCGTGCTACGTTTTTATTGGTTGAGTGTGAAATTCGAGAAAATGTTAGAATCTTGTCCAATTAGGTTTTAGTTCGATCGATCCTGATTGGTCCGTTCGATGCTTGTCGAATTGATTTTAAATATTTATATTTTCAAATATTATATTCGAATACGTTAGATTTGGATAGAAAAAAGAAATGGATTCATTTGAAAATCATATTTGAAAATGGATAATAATAATTATGAATGATCGTTACTGCGTAAGTCTTATTTATAAATACTTTTAATTGTTTCTATATCAAAGTGCGTTTATCGTATTGTGAAAATAAAAATTAGATAGGATCGGTTTTATTTAAAATAGATTGCGCCAATATAAATATTGTTATCGTTATCGTAAATGATATGATAATTTTCTACAACGTTCTTCCTTATCGACGTTAGGTAATGAAATCATTTTATTGATTCATCGGACGGCGCCACATAATTGATATCACTATTTTCAAATGTTAATATAATAATTATGTTAATAACAAATAATACATATTTCATATAAATTAATTACAACAATATTAATAACACGTATAATTGAAATTTTCTTTTTTTTTAAGGAGAATATAAACTCGTAAAGAATATTTTTATGAAGATATTACAAAAGAAGATTGAAAAAAAAAAAAGACAAGAATAATTTTATTATTATCCTCAATAATTAATTAATGATTTTTAACAAATTGATAAACTACTTTCTACTATTTCAAAATAAATAAAAGTTCTCGGAACGCGTTTCCGGTTTTTTTTCTTTTTCAAACGAGAACAAAATATTTCCCATAGTATAACAGTATCAAGATTATGCGTTATTATATTAATATTGCATTTAACCAAGCCGAACGTTGCCTTATTAGAACATATTTATTACACCGATTGAGTGAACTTCTTTTTTTTTTTATATTAAAAAAGGTAAGATCGTTTTACAGCGAATCAAAATGGATTCCAGGATTCGTGTCAATTTCGCTCGACCGTTTTTGGTTGTCCAGACAAACTCGACGAGTCCTTATTGGTAAAACTCGTCTTTTCTACTCTGAGGATGTGGGTCACCAACTTGTCTACCTACATACATACATAAATATTTGTGTACTTTGTACTGCATCCAACAGTGTCACAAGCAACGGAAACTCAACTTTTTAACATTTCTTTTTTTGTTTTTTTTTTTTTTCTAAAGAATATTTCAAGGTCTACAGAATTTTGTATTACTTTATTTTCCCTTCTCACACTTTGTTCTAACACGAAATCAAAATTCCTGATCATTGTTTGTATTCGTCATGGTTGATCTTCAAATTCATCTATCGTTCACATTTTTTCATATTGGTCATTCAAAATTGAAATTTATTTACGTGACCAATCAAAAGAATACACGTAAAGTTTGCTTTCCCTTTTGGAAACAAGACTAACCTTAAATATTAACCTTAGGCTCATAAATTTAGACGAATTTTATCGTTCATATTTGTTCCCAATAAACATCGTCAAATGTTTGTTCTTAACTCACGAGATATGTATCTCATTTATCTTTCCTTTTTTTTTTATAATCATAAAATAAATCTTACAAAATTGTATATAAACAAACGAATATTTCAAACAATTCAATCTTATCGATCTTTTCAAACAGAACATGGTTGAATCGAGATAGTATAATGCAAACATAAAACTTATTTCTAATACGTTTTTACTTCCTTTTATGAGAAAACGTAGAAAATCGGTAAGAGACTTTGTACTAAAAAAAAACAAAAGAAAAAAAGAAAAAAGTCGTGAAAGATATTTGCAATTCTTTCGTCATTGCGTCAGACGACACAGGATGCAATTAATGTTAATGAATGATTGTTTTTATTATCAATGCCATTAGTCGTGTCGAATACAAATAGTTCATTACCAGACCAGAATGAAACAACCTATTGCAAATGATTTTACTCGTGTACCTCTTTTCTCTCTCTCTCTCTCTCTCTCTCAATAACTCGAAATGGGAAAAGTTTTCGTGTTTGAAAAAGAAAATACAATGATATTCCTAATCATTATGGGATCCCTAAAAAAAGTTTGACTATGATTTAACGGTATGTCTAAAAACGGAAGAAGCTGAATGACATATTAATGACGTCATTACACACACGCACAGAGAAATAGAAAGAGAGACAGACAGACAGACACACAGACACACCCGTGTAAGAAGTAAATAAAGTATCGACCCACTGACCGATTTCATTAAAATCCCTGAGGGCTTGGATCCAACAGGTTGTTTGACTTGTAATTCGCGATTCGTGATTACGCGCATGCGCGATTTGATCAATGATATTAACGGCGATTGGTTAAGAATAAATCGGCAAGGAGGTTCGTGTGATTTCGCGGAACTTCGGTTCTTATCGGATTCGGCTCGCGCGGGTTCCGTGGATTCGTCAGAAAGTACGCGGTCTTTGCGGACAATACCGCGGCAGCTCCGCAAGGCACGCAATTAAATAATAAGCGGGAATTGATTTTTATTATCAATTATTTTCCCCGCCAAAGTTCGCGTGTGCTAATTTTTATTTTATTTATATTTTTTACTTTTCTAAATATTACAAAATTAATATTCTTTTTTTTCAACAATTGTGTCGGTTACGTTTTAACACCGTTTTAATTAATTTGTTTTTTACCGATCCACGATCGCAAAGCAACAGGTGAGTCCAAACTGTGATACTTTTTTATTTTATTCCAATTTGAAATAAATGATGGGAGGATTGTTTTTGTTGTTGTTTTTTTCGATGCGTTTCAATTTTCAACAAATATTCGAGAAAATCGATCTATCATTTATCCCGTTTAACTTTTCCTGCCAAACGAATAGGATATTGTCGGCCGGTTACATAATCTCAACCGTGTACGAGAAAACGATGGGAATCTTCTCATTGCATTCAATGCGAAATACTGACACGTACGTTTTCTAAGTGACGACAACACGTTTCTATCAAACTATCACGTATATCATGCGATCAATTTATTTCGGAATAAAATTGACTATATTATAATTATATTGTGTTTGGAAAAAACAAAACAAAATGTCAATATTATAAAATTTAACAATAAGATAATTATTTATTTACAAAATATAATTTAATAATAATCTGTGTAAAATGTATATAAAATTTAAGAATAATATTACAAACGTTTGACATTACAAAAAAAAACAAAATGATAAAAATATAATAACAAATCTGTGTGCCAAATTTTTTAAGATAATTTCAAATGATTTTCATCAAAATTTAGATTAACGTTTCTTACTTAATAATTCGCGTTTAATTAGTTATTTTTATAATGAATTTAATGAATTTATGGAAAGAAAAATACAAAAGAATAAAAAAAAAGTGTTTAACCAAGTTAGATCAATTTAACGATTAGAGTATATAATATTTATTACAAATGGCGACGTCCTTGATGGGTTCACGTGTTCGGTGTCGCACCCATATCACCCACGACAGTCATCCCATCCGAATATCCACCTGCGTGCTCTGCTTACAAATAAATCTTGTTGTTCGTCTTCTACCGCGCATTCAAATCACTGGATATTTCCTATACGACAACCACGGTGATTTTAATTCACCAATTATTCCCAATGAAAAAATTATCACAAAACAATCAACAATTATTTGCATTAATTGATAGACTAAAAAAAAAAAAACAAAAAGAAAATCTAATTATTAATTTAATAATAAATAAACATTATAAATAATAATAATATATAACATTAATACCAGTTGTGTGTTCACCATTTTTCTTTTTATTAATTATTTGGAATTTTTAAAATTATAATTATGAATAATTATACACAAAATTCACATTCGCGATCAATTGTTATAAACTATTGCAATATTTTTTAATAACAATTGTAAATTTTAATTTTTTTTACTATACATTTTAATTCAATGGGAGTTTGGGGAGGATAATAAAACACAGATGTGTGTAGGTACGTAAGTGAAACACGAGTTAAAGATAGTAAGCGCATCAATTACGTCGAGTTGAGTAATCCAACACTACTACTACTACTACTACTACTACTACTACTACTACTATTACTATTATTATTACGAAGCTCGCCCTCGTAAAAGTTATTTAGTTTGATTCGCATGACGCATTTCCTGACGTCACTTGCATATCCTAACCATAACAAGGTATAAAACTGACATACAATTTTTAACGCGAATTATTTTTAAATTAAATTGATAAATTGGTGTAATAGTATAGCGTGACATTTAATAAAAATAATTGATATAATTGTAGTAATTATATTTCAATTCTATTCTATTCGAATATTTTATACATTTTGATTTAATCGCACGATCATTCTTCTTGTTTGTTTTTTTTTTTAAACGATACGATAAAACGTAAATGTTTCGCGTGAATATATTTTTGGAAATATCAAAAAAAAAATATATATATAAAAGAACGGTACAATTAGTAAAAGAAAAAGAAGAAAAAAAAACAATAAAAAATATGTGAACACTTACGTACCTGTCCCTGGCACGACAGGGAGAGCACGTGCGTAATTTAAACCGCAAGGACGCTAGTGTACATTGGCGTAGAAATCACATTTATTTATCTAACCTAATAATCTCTTTTTAAGATATACACGATATTATTTTAGATAATTGATTATAATTATAATATACTTTTTAAATAACGAATAGATATTATCTTAATTTTGTAATTTTTTTTTATGTATTTGAAATTAGTATAATTAGTGCTCGAATTTTTCTCATTTAATTGGATTGTAATTAATTTCAAATAAATATCATCGTAAAGAAATAAGTGGCGGCCATATTGTATTCGTTTAAAAATGGACGCGTATATTTCTCAAGTAATTAATACAATTTATTATAATATATATATATATATATAAATCAATTAAATTATAATTTTAATAAATAAAATGAATTAGGAATAACTTTGATATAACTAATGTGAATAAAATAATAAAGAAAATAAACTAATAAAAGTCATTAAAGTGTCATGTTCATGTGTATTTATCATAAATAAAAAT